GAGGCCGCGTCGCGGGGGAAGGCCGCTTTCGAGGCGAGTGGGTGGAGAGGGGAGGGCTCGGCCGCGCGGGCTGGGAGCAGGCCCCGGCCCAGGTACTGTTAGTATGGGCTGCCGGATCGCGGTGGCGGGGTTCAGGCCGACTACGCCAGGGTGGGGAGCGACCCTCCGGCTGCGGAATGCCTGCGGGCTCGGTGCACAGCACTCGGTCTGATCCGCCCCGGAGTTGCGGGGAGCACTGCCCGGGTTCCTTGCAGTGATGGGTAGAGGAGCCTGTTACTTAACGGAGGGCTGGATGCTTTGGAAGCTGCACACCGGCACCCAAGACACTGTCTCTGCCTCGTAGCTGTTCTGGCCTAGGTGACGGCAAGAGCTGTGCAGTTTTATGCTTTTTAATGTTGGGAATATTACCAGTTTACAGTATCAAAAGTACAATTTACAGCTGTGACATAAACTTTTATTATGGACAGTGACGGCGTATCACTCCCCAGAGTACAGTCACCAGACCAAAAAAATAGATTAACAGGGGACAGTTTCCAAACAGATGAGTTTTGTCTGCTCTTGAAGATTTTGTTTGTGTTTGAGATAGGGGAGGGCAAAAAATACAGCAAGGATAACAAACTTCGTAAGTGCAAATGTACTTAAATGCCATGCTGCCTGATTTTTTTTTTTCCTCCCATCTTTGTGCCCCAGGATGTGGTTGTCAGTAAAGTTGTTATTTGCTGAAATGTGTGTGATCAGACACCACTTTCCAGGATTGTAGGGAAGATACCATAGCTGTATATCAAGTCATAATTAAACCTTAATCCACTTCAGGTATCTTAAAATATGTTGTCCAAGTGAACTGGGTGAACCAGAAAGCAGGTACTTGTCTGTTGTCCCCAAACAACAAGGTCTGGCTTTAGTCCCCAGGTGATCCTGTGCCTTTGCTGAACCCCACTCTTCCAGTTTGTTTTTATGACTTTCTGCCGCCGTTGTATTGGAACCTTTTGTTTCCTCTAAATGGACATGTTGAGATGACACAAGTGCAGAACCGGGTTATCTTGTTTATACAGCACTTGGGCAGGAAAGCTGATCTTGTGATTAGGACCTGTATTCAGTAAGGAGATTCAGTTTTCATCTCTGGAGTTTTCCAGCTTGAACCAGCTTCAGAAATGGCACTCAAGGGGCAGGGATTCCATGCTTTCTGGCAAGTGGACTTGTCTTAGGGTGGATTTTTGTTAAATATTAAAAAAGAAACAAACAAACAAAAAGAAAAGTTAAAAAAAAAGAGAAAATCATCAGCCCTTGGTCTGTCCTTCCGTTCCCCACTTCTTCAGAGAGTCCTTTTGTCTTCTTTTGATTATTCCCACTGTAAGAATGCATCCCGCTGTAACAAATGTTTGTCCAGTGCTCTAACCTGGATTTCTGCCGAGACCTCGCTTTATCCTTTGTGTTACAAACAGTATGCTACAAAAGCAAGAATTTCAGGAGTCTGCTTCCTGCAGGAGTGGTTCTTTGTGGTAGAATGGAAGGATGAGAAACTGGTTCCTTCCATTATTTGGGTGACTGGAAGCGTAAGTGTTCTGGGTTCTCTTCCAGTGCTGAATTACAGGCAGCATGAGCTCCCGCATGAATAATATTTGACAGTTCAGGGGGAAACCATCTCTAGTCCTTGGGGTATGTGATGAGGTTATACCAAGGAAGTAAGAAGAAACTAGACAGAAGCGTGAGGTTAGCGTGACTTTAAGTGAACAGCTGTGTTTACGCTGCTCTTGTCTATGCAGGCTTGATGTAAGAAACAGAAATAGGCATTAATGCCTCGTTCTGTAGCATGGGGCTGCAGAATGATTCTTGAAAGGAACCACTTCAGACTAGCACAAGCGTTTTGTTTCCCCCTGGGTTTACAGGTGTCAAGAGACCATGGGTTTCCTTCTTAGGCCAACTCCTTGGAGCACCTGTGCCTAGGATTGGAATAGGCACCAAGCCAGTGCTCAGGTATTAGGATCTCGAAGCAGAGTGTGGGTGTACTGTGTGAGAAGGTGCTGTGCTTCCTTGGTCAGCAGTGCTGCTCCTGTTTTCTAATCCCAGCCCTGTTTTAGCCCGGGGGATTCCCACTTTCCCTCACCTCTTGAACTCTGTGTAACCCTGGCAGACAGCTCCCCACCCTGCATAGCCTTTCCAGGCCTAGCTCTCCCCAGAGCCACAAAGAGGCGCAGAGTGCTTTTGAACATTAGAGAGATTGGTTGCTAATTTCTGAAATCTCACTGTTAATCGCTTATATTTATATGTATTAAAATTACTGCAAACAGGCAAGCTTTCTCGAGCTTTCACAGGATGGGCGAAAAGAAATTGGGTAAAGTGAAGACAAAGTGTCAAATCCTTTCTCCAGAACAGAGGGGTGTAAGACGTGAGTGTAGGGTTTTAATATTTATTTAAGCAAGGTAAATCCAGAGTGGGGTGGAGAAAATTCCCATACAGTGTGAATTTTGGAAAAGCAGCCTGAGGCAGAGAACTCACAGGGAAGATGTAATTATGAAGAAGAGTAATGAAGGGGTAATAGGTGGTGCTGTTAGTCTTACTGACTCACTGCAGAACTGCTGTCTTAACCAGTACTTACGGTGTAGTGGTGCTTAGAGAACTGAAGTTATAAGTGCAGTGGGTCTGGGTTTCAGGATATGCAGGAACGTCTCATGCACTGGGAAGTGAAATCAGAGCCCTGATGTCTCTCATACTGTGTTTTTAGGTCGGGATTTTCCACGATGGATGGGGGAGATGGTACTGCTGACCTTGTGATTAACAAGAGGTTCGTGTCTGAATCGGAGCTAGAGGAGCGGCGAAAGAGAAGGCAGGAGGAATGGGAAAAGGTCCGAAAACCTGAGGACCCAAAAGGTAGGGGATAGATTTTAATAATTACAGGAAAGAGAATGGAGAATATTTCACTTTTGTGGAAAACACATAAAAGGTAATAGCTTGTATTCTACCAGTTTGCAAGGTTTTTACTTGAAGGAACTAAGAACTGTTGGTGATTTATTATCTGTACCATATGGTCTCACTTCCTGATTTGTTCCTTCCTTTCAGAATGCCCAGAGGAGGCGTATGACCCACGTTCGCTGTATGAAAGACTTCAGGAACAGCGAGAAAAGAAGCAGCAGGAGTTTGAGGAGCAATTTAAATTCAGTAAGCACCAGCAGTTACTATTTTGAACCGAAACTCGGCAAACTGCATGTATTGTGTGCGACAGCTGTTTCCAACATCTGCCTAAGAGACATAACTCTGTGTCTTGTCTACCTCTCTGGGAGGTAAACAGAGGCTTTGGAAAACTGGTATTGAAATCTTGGGTTTTTCAAGGATGGTAGATGTTCCTGCAGGTAACATTCCGTTCTGGGCACTGACACAGCGCTGCCCACATGCGAAACTCAAAAGTTGCTTGCAGTCGTGTAGCTGCATTCCTCTGCAGTGTGGAATGCTAGGCTTGTTTTGCACATGAAATCGAGACAACCCCTGATACTAATCCATGGAAAAGTGGAAATTTAACACGGTGTTGTGACTCTTGAACTCATGCTTTGCCACAAGGCCGTCCTATTTGAATCAGTCAAAAGAAATCCTGTTCCAGCAGCTCTTACATTTCCAAGCCATAATTAGTTGATGCAAAAGTGATTTGAGGTTCAAGATTACTATTTGGATGAGGTAAACACACAGGAATTGATTTTAAAAAGTAGATGCTTAACTCTTAATGAAATGGAAACCTAATTTCTGCTGATGTTTGAATTTCTGGGTTTATAGAACAATGCTTTGCATCACCTGTATGAGTGCAAAGATGATAGTGAGAATGAGAAAATTGTTAGTCAACCATTTTGAGAAAAAGGGAGCTATTGGCTCCAACTGAGGAGAAGTGAGGATGATACTGTGGGACTCCATTTTTAGGTGGGTTCTGATCAATTTTGGTTCTTGAGCTGGAAGCCTTACCCTCAAACTGCTGTGTTCTTTAAGCTCCAGACTGGCTCCTGTCTAGAATCTCTTTTATTTGCGACACAACAGAACTACGTTTTACCTTCTAACGGTGGCACAATCATGGAGTGCTGTTAGATAACACTCCCTGGCCCTGCAGGTGCTGTCGGGTGCGTTACTGATTGCCACAGTTGCCTTTCCAGTTTTGTAGTAGATGCTTTTAGAATCGTCCCTGTAGACAAATTTCTCTGGGATAAGGTAAGTGGGAGGAACTGACTTACCTAAAGATTGGTGCCGGGTGGACTGCGGACCGCTGGTTTACCTCATCGGAGTTCAGCCCAATTTGGCCACTTGTGACGAGATTTGTCCCCTTATATGCTTGAATTTGCCTTAAAATGTTCGTAAGTATTTTCACTATCCATTTTGGAGGAGTAGAAAATGGGTTCTGCTTTACTGCACTCTCATTCTGATCCGTCGGAATGGCTGAGCACCTTAAGGCCGAAGAGTTGGGTTTGCATAAACACACAATCTTCATTACTCCAAAACTTTTGTGTAGATACAAACCAGTATGCAGACCAGCTGCTCTCCTTCCTGCTAGCTTATACAGCATTGCAGGAATGTCCTTCTTTTCAAAGTAAAAGAATTTTAGCAGAATGTGGCATTTACAATGAAAAATAATACTAGTGTTCTCTAAAATGCCATTTTAAAAACTTTCTTTCTGAACAATTATGGTAACCAAAATAAGGGTAAGTGGAAGTAATTTCCTGTCTCTAAGTTTTACTTGTATTTCTGGTGGTGAAGATGGTGCAGGCAGCAGCATTAATGCATTAAGGTCTCCAACTGGACCTACAGGATTCTTTCCAGCTGGAGTGTTTCCCGTTTACTTCAGTAAACTCTTGATCCAAGTTCTCTTTGGTGACGTCACTAAGCAGTTCTTGTCCGAGCAGCCGTCAGAAAACTGACTGCTATTGACCTGGCTGGGAAAGGCTTCTAATAACCGACTAAATTAATTGTTTCCTTGCTGAGTTATATTAGATTCCTTTGGTTCAGGGAACCTGTAAGCCGGGTACCGGAATGAGAAGCATCCCTGAGAGGGGTAACTGAGAGGTAAACCTTGCGGATTTTACGGCAGCCCTTGCGGAATAACAGATACCGGCTAACCTGGAGAACAAAACCTACCGCAGACTGTTTAGTCGGGCATCTCAGTAATGTCAGCTCTAAGGATCTCTGTGGCTGCTTAAAAAGTAACCCCAGATAATAATTGATTCGTAGAGCTTTTCTGTCAAAGATGGACCCTTGCCAGTTATCAGTGTAAATGGGTTTCTTAGCTGGCTATTAAAGTGGGCAGGACTTGACTGTGTGGGTGAAGATTAAAAAAAAATACAGGGACTTCATGTAAAAGCCAAAAAATCCTCTTACGGGATTTAACTCTAATGAAGACTAAAGGTGGTGGCTGGGTAAGGTTTCCCAGGCTGAGTACAAACAGCAAGACTTGGGTCTTTCTAAAGGATATTTTTGATTACCTTTCTAACGGAGTCATTTGATTGAGAGATGTTGAACGTTTGCAGAACAGGAAATAAGTGACTGCTGGTGTGTATTTTCCTTCAAGTAAGGTAGCGTGTTCCCAAAGCATTGATTTTTATTTGGAAGTTAGGAATTGTCTTGCTTGTTTTTTTTTTTTTTTTTAAACAGATGTTAATCGCCGTTAAGTTACTGATAGTTTGCTTTAAAAAAATGTACTTCCTATTTTGAGGCAAGATTTAGGGGGAGAAGTAATGTGAGTTTTTTCCAGTTATGGGTCAGTTTAAGAAAGATTCTGAGGAGACAGGCTTAAACTCCGTGACTGAAACCCAACCAAACAATACATCGTTGCTTGCTGTGGTTATTCCTTGTTCTGCGTAGCCAGTTCCAAATGGTGTTTCAGAACTGCAGAGAAGCTGCTTGTGTGGAAGCTCAGTCCGTTTCCCTTAATTATACCCACAAGTCCAAAAACATCCCGTGTCTTCCCGTGAATCGTGCCTTGCTTTCCTCTGTCCGGTCAGCCTCGTGTTCAGACTGCGTTAGCCTGCTGTAGTTGTGTGCCTGAGTGTGTAAGAGCTTGTTAGCGTCCCGCATCGCCAACCGGGACGTATTTTCGCTCCCAAACTGCGGACGCCAGCGGAGAGCTCGTGGGGTTTGCTCCGTACCCGTGGCACGCCGGTGTGACTGCTGGAGTACACGGTTCGCTCAGTCGCCCACGGCTCCACTCCCCACGTTCCCGGGGACTCTGTGCCAATTGTCCTACCTCGGCAGCACTGGAAATGTTGTAGGCGAGATGCGGGTGCTCACCTACGTCCGCGTGGGGTTTGAGATCATCGGAAAACGTTCGGAGAGAGTGGTGATGGAACCCAAAATGCTCCCTCAGTGGTTTCAGCTTATCAATATGCATTCTGTTCCTTTATTCAGAAAATATGGTAAGAGGCTTAGATGAAGATGAGACACATTTCCTTGATGAGGTTTCCCGGCAGCAGGAGCTACTGGAAAAGCAACGAAGAGAAGAAGAGCTGAAAGAACTAAACGAGTACAGAATATCCTTTGCGTTAAAGGTGCTGGTGGGTATGTTGAGGGAGGTGAGAGATGGGGCTGTAGCTCACATTCTGTCTATCAAAGTGCTTTACAGAACGTGTGCCGAATGTTTTCATTGGCTCTCCCACTGGAATGTTTGACATTTCACCCCCCTTGACCCCCACATGTCTGTGGTACTTTTCTTTCCTTCTCCCTCTCCCCATTGTTTGGGGTTTTTTTCCTCCCTTATTGAAAGCATGAAGTACCATCGCTAAAAAGAGAGAACATAAAGGAAAATCAGCCTATTGCTACTAATCTTTTGCTTTTGTCCTCTTATTGAAAAGTCAATGTTCCTGTTCGGGTTTTTTTAACTGCATATTGGCTGTTTTTAACATACCTGCTTGAAATAACGTTCAAATTGCTCTTCTCCATTGTTCTTCTTGAAGTATTAGGTACTTTCTCCCTTGCTGATAACTGCAGCATGAGAAATGAAATTACCTGTGACCCAGCTGTGCAGATGCACTGACTTTCTTCTGGGAAGTCGGTGCCCACGAGGACTCAGCTCCCTTGGGTGACGTAGGTTCTAGGCAGTACTAAGAGCAGGACGGTTGGGCTTTACTGTTAAATGCTAATGCTTCGTGAAGATGTGCTAGAAAACAGCATAGGATGCTTTTTCTCTAATCAGTGCCAGTCAAGGCAGGTTGGAATGATTTGAGGATGTCTGTGCTAAGCTAAATGTTGGCTTTTTTTAAGTTTTACTGAATCTGTGCAGAACCTGATGTTTTCTTTGCCTCCTCATGAAAACCATTGCTTTTAAGTCATCGGCAAACAAAGCACAAGTTCTCAAGGATGCTTTAGTAGAAATGACAGAGTTTGTGGACACAAGCAGGTGACCAAAACCAGTCAGCAAGTAGAGCTGAATAGCGGCCGTGCTACAAGGATCTGCATCACCTTGTAGCAGTTAGTGATTCACAGCTTAGAGCCTGTGTTCTGTGAAAAGCATCTACGTTATCTCAGTAATGCACTTAGGAAAAGCAAAACTGAGGCATTTTTCTGCTTCAGAAAGAGGCTGTAGTTGGTTGATGGTTTTGGACTATTTTCTTGATTGCATCTAATAATTTGGGGGATATATTTAGTTTCAGTGATGGTTGCTGGCGGCACTGGACGGTGAAGGGATGTGCAGTTTAGGATTGTGCTGTGGAAGCAGCTGACAGCTCTCGTTAGGTCACGTACGTCTGGGTGAACCATACCAGCCCGGGGCAATCATATGTTGTCTTGAATTAGCCACATAATACCCTGATCCCTGAATTTAGAGAGCAGGGCCGCTTCGAGATGTACAGGCACATCTGACCTCAGTCTTTGCAGTCTTAGTAGTGTCATGGGGCTCTGTAGCCAAAGTCTGGCTGTAAATTAAAGCACAGAACTTATTGCTGATGGGGTAGAGGGGAGGGAGAGTGTTTTATAGTCACCTCATCTCATGCAAACCTTACGAAATCTTGTCCATTCCATTTCCTTCAGAGCAACTTGCAAAATGACTCATTTGTGTTTGAAATTTTTGGTGGTATTCTTTCAAAATGTAAAAAGCTGGGTTTGGCTCTGCAGGTTGTTACTAATGGTTTATCACTGCCCTGGCAGAACCCAGGGGGCACTTGGTAAGCAGGCTGTGTCCGTAGGTGCCGTTCAGGTGTTCTTCTAGTTAGAGAAATATCAATGCAGTGGGTTTGATTATTCGGTCTTTTTCCTGGTAAATTTAAGCTACCCAGAGGCATTAATTTCTTGGTAAAACCTACGTCGGTATTCAAGTACAGAGTTCTTTTTCTTTCTTTTTTTCCTTCATTTTTTTAGGTTGAACAGTCATGAAATCATGTATCTTAAGGATAAACATACCTTGGAATATTTAATGAGCTCTCCAGCACAAGAAATTCCTATGCATGGATGCATAGGAATTGTACTTCCTCCTGCATGAATGACTAGGGTTTCTTAGCTCCTTACCCTCCTCGGACCCCACTGGTCTGACAGCATTTAAAGATTTACAGGTATTTTTAAAGCCAGTTCCAAGACGTGTTGGAGAACAACATCCTCGTGTCTTAAATCCCATGTAAATGCAGGAAAGGTCCCCCTCCAAGAAGCAGGTTTTACTGAAGGACAGCTTTTTTAATGCAGTTGATAGTTAAGATTGAGAGGTTTATTTCTGACGTAGTCTTCCTGGGAGGACACGTCTTGGCTAGGGATAGTGATATTTGCTTAGTGCAGCAGTACAGGGCACGTTTTTAACGGCGATTTTCTGTGTTTCTGGTCGTTGAGGAGGATTAGGAGAATGGCATCCTGGGTGGACATGGAAAGCCTCTAATTTGGTATCTTTTAAAAGAAAAACCTCTGGGATCCTCAGCCAGGCGTTTGCAGTGCAGGATTAGAATAGAACAAGGTAACGAACCCGATTGTGGAACCGAACACGACTTTGCCATGGCAAACCGCGTTCCACGCGGTCAGCTCTCAGATTGCTTGTGATAGCCACGGGGTGGCACTCCTGGGCCGTCCGCAGGGATGAAGGAAATTCAACAGCCTGCGGTTGACTTGCAGTTGAGATAAGGAGCAGTCTGGAATACTACTGTATCCTTAGGAAAATCATAGGGAGTGGCATCTGAACACTCCTAATTGTAAAGTGACTGGAGACTTTGAGCGTGTCGCTTCAGAGGAAGGTGTCAGAGTTTTGGATTTGCAGATGATCAGTGGGTGAAACACCCCGTAGCTTCACATACACGGTCCGTCGGTATGAAATCACTCTCCAGCCTTTATCTGGGAGAACTGGGGCACCTCCAGCTTGTGGTTCTGTCACCTGGTCCCTGGATTCGTGGTCAGAGAGGAAACTGGTAGAAAGCTAGACTTAGGGGGATAAATACCCTCTTAAATTAGGTTGATTTGCCTTTGCTATGTGCAGTTTAAAAGTTCTGCAGAGCTTCTGTGGCTCCGCTAGCACCTCACTGACAAACAGCATCTTTGTTGGACCTCGCTCCAGCAGGTACCGCCGGACACGAGCTGTTGTCAGGGATGGGATCTGGATCCTGCTGCAGCAGGAGTTGGTTTAGCGTGTGTCCAGTGTGTCTTGGCAGACGAAGGTGCTCCTTATCCCGTCTGAGAACCTGCGTAAGCCTCTCCGCCTCATTAGAGGTTTCAGCTGCATCCCACCTTGCTAACACTGTCTTAAGCTGCTTAGTTTTTCTGTGCAGTCACAGTTTTTTGGGTGAATCTCAGACCACATGGACCCTTAACCGGCTCCGTCTCCTTTGCCTTGGTGTTCAAAGCGGTGTAATAGCCTCGTGGCCCGTAGAGCTGAGCTGCAGAGGCAGAGTGCTGAACACCAGTCCAGCAGCTGAGCTGTTGCCTGCCTGAAGTCTGCTGGGCACCTTTCCGACGTCGGAAAAGCAGCTCCCCGGCTGCTGCCCGCACGTCCGTACGGGGAGAGCTGGTGTTGATAGCTGAGAGGGTGAGGGCTCTGCTGTCTTGGCCGAAGGTGCCCGCTGAGCCTCGTTATAAATAAGTTTATTTTGACAGAATAAGTGAATGAACTTCGGTCGCTGCTGTCAGCAGAGCTGACTAAATATATCGGAGAGGAAGTGTCTGTTCTCTCCATTCCTTCCTGGTTGATCCTTAACCCTTAATTCACAGCACCCTCACCAAAGTGGGAGTCAGTATGGACCCAAAGAAGGAAACTGAGAAGAAATTGCCCATGAAGTCAGTGGAAAACAAGAACAAATTCTCTCAGGCAAAGCTGTTGGCAGGAGCTGTGAAACACAGAAGGTTAGTTTCACACCTCTCTAAATGCATGAGGAACGGAACCCGGTTAGCAGTGTAAAGGGAAGCAGGCCAAAACTGCCTCCAGAGAGTGAGGTGTGAACCTTAGCCCTAAAGAAAAAAGGGGGGAGGTATAAGAAAAGACCAGCCTTGTTTCTATAGGCTCCCACAAACTGTGGGAAAAACATGCAGCTATTCAAACAGATACGCGTGTGTAAAGCAAGTGGGTAGACTCTTCGTTCTAGACTGCCAGGCTTGGGCAATCCTGCTTGGGGATCTAGAGGGAATCTGTTTTACAACTCTGTTTGTAGATTGATCAGTGTCACCTCGCTCACATAATTTCATTCAGGTTTGCATGATTTATAGCAGCCGATCGTGTCTAAAATGGGTTGTTTTAATTGCTGCTGGGGGCAGCATGGGGGAGACGGATGTTCGGAGGGAAGAGCCTTGTGTGCCAGTTTGATCCCGAGGGCTGTGCTGGTACGTCAACACCCTTCCCATCCCAGGGAGAGGGCAGCCTGCTCTGTGAGCTGCTGCTTGTTTTGATCTTGGCCTGCAAACGCAGCCACTGCTCTGCTACAGGTTACGGAGGAGCAAGGTGTGTGGAACCAGGCTTATTTCCCACGGATGAGTCGTCTGAGACTTAGGCTGGTTACTGACACCTAATTCAGTCAGTGGTTTTGGATCTGCCCTGGAGAATGAGAGATTATTTTAGAAGCTGATCTCGTACGTGATGTTTAGCTCCCAGTACAGCAGTAATTGCGTGTCTGGGAACTGAAGTAAGCACTTCCACCACCTGATGTGGGGGCAGGGGGGAGTAGTTGTTTGGGTTTTTGGAGGGCAGAGAAACCCTGAACTGATAACAAGTAGCCAACGATGGCGCTTTTCTTTCTTGTAGCTCCTAGTACTTAACCCAGTAGGATGCAGAGAAGGATCTGGCATGTGCTTAATGCAGATCTAAAGTCTGCAGATGGCATCTGTTTGAAGAGAGCATCTTAACTGACATGTCAGTGCCATCGCAGATTGGCTCTGCAGTTTTCTATTTCTGCCGTCCTATCTTTTATTGCAAACTGGCCAAAACCAAGTGTAGCGTGAGTCCAGCGTCTGCTCTCCGAGCTCCGTAGCTTCCTGTGAAGGATGGGTGACTCCTGAAACCTTGCTGCAGGGAACCACCTTCCCCCTGCGCTGCGCGTTCTGACAGGGACAGAGAAGAGTTAAGGCATAGAAAGGCTGACGGTTCGTCACCGTAGTTCATCCCAGCTGAAGCTGGGAAGCGTTTGTTTATGTGGATGGCTCAGGATTGAGAATGTGCAAGAGGGGGAAAAAGAAACGGAGAAGTGACCAGGAAGAGCTAGAGAAGTGCTGAGGAGTCGGGAGTGCGAGGAACGCTCCTTTCCCCCCGCACCACTTTGGGACCCCCAGCTGAGACGCTGCAGCTGCGCGTGGGTTGCTGTACATCCTGCCGACCTTCCTCCCGGGCGCGGGATCCCGCGTCTTTTACACCAGGCTCTCTGGGGTGTGACGGAGGGGAAGGACACCCTGGAAGGGGAAGGGTGATCATCCAGGTGTGCGAGGCTGTGGTCCCGCGGGGTGGCTGAAGCTGGGGCAGTCGTTCCCCATCTCCCGTGGGGAGCTTCCGGCTGAACTGAGGGTTACTGAGGAAGAGGTCCGACTTGCATTCCCTGGGGCGTTTCCCAGGTTAACAGCTGATAGGTGCAGCGTGGGTGCTGACTCTTTCTCGGATCCTGCCTGCTCCCCGGGGAGCCCCCGTTAACAGCGGTTGGAAGCGGTGAAGGTTCCGGGGACACTGTTGGCTGTAGCAGGAGAGGCACAGATGTGGCTTCGACTTCAGAGTCGTTCAAGTGGTTGCTTAGGAGGAACAAGACGCTTTCTTGTTTTTCCCACAGTTCAGATGGTGGCAGCAGCGTGAAGAGGTTGAAACTAGATGCTGATCATGACGAAAAGAATCAAGGTATGTCCTGGCTTCTGCATGGGGGAAGCTGTCTGTCTCACCTGGACAGCAGCTGGCGTGGTGTTAAATCTGATGGAGGATTTGCTCTCCTGCTCCGTCGTTACGTGCGACATCCCAGACGGCGGCTGGCGTGCTCTCTTCAAGCAGCAGAAACGGTACCTAGGGGCACGGACAGCCTGTGTAGGAGACAGGGCTGGAGGGAAGCTCTGTGGGTCATCGGGCGATCCCCTGCCTAAAGCGTTCCTCACAGACCTCTGAGCTGCTCTGATGTGTCCACAGAGAGAGACCGTGCACCCTCCTTAGGCGCTTCATTCTCACGCTTAACCCGTGTTACCCTTAAAGAGTTTTACCTGACAACTAACGGGAGTCTCCGTAGCTGCGTTTCCAGCCTGTCAAAGGGAGAACAGATCATCCCTTTCCCCATCACAGCAGCAGCTGATGTATTTGTACACCTCTTAGCTTTTCACGCTACGGTGGGATCTTACCCATCCTGAAAGCCCTTTGTTTCAGACGAGGATGGGGAACTAGAAGAAACACAAAGTTGCGTTTGAGTCTTGGCTGTCAGGGCCGCAGCTGAGTCCTGTCAGGGTACTCTGACACAAACAGGGCGAGCTGCAATTGTGTAATGACAACCCGAGGCGCTTCCTGAATCTCCTTCTGCTCAGCACACTTCCAGAACGCTGGAAATAATTAATTAGCCATGGAAGACGGGAGGTGTCGACTCGCAGAGCGATGGCATAAAACTTTTCCCCCAGCTTATGCTGTTCTATCACAAAAAATATTCAATTACACAAAGCAGAGCTATTTATTCTTATTTAGTGGGTTTGGTATTTGACAAGCATCAAACTTGACAACCTCAGAATAAAAATCTGTAACGCCAGCGTAGAGCTGGGCTTAAACCAGTGATGGGGCAACCCCCCCCATCGCTGAGGTAGCAAGTCCTGCTGTCAGAACGGCTGCCGCGTGCTTCGATTAAATCCTGCAGCCGAGCACCACTGCTGCGGCAATAGGAGCCCTTTCCCGCCCTCTCCTTTCTGACCGGGATACCTCTCTTCCAGAAAAACCGTCCTGTGTTCCCTTGGGGAGCAGCTCGGTGGGAGGCTCCACGGTCCACTGCCCCTCAGCAGCCGTGTGCATCGGGATCCTGCCTGGCCTGGGTGCCTACTCGGGGAGCAGCGATTCGGAGTCCAGCTCGGATAGCGAAGGCACTATTAATTCCACCGGGAAGATCGTCTCTTCCGTCTTCCGCAGCAACAGTTTCTTTGATGGTCCATAACGAAATCCCTCCGTGTGTAACGTAGTGCAGAGTACCTTCCAAAGCCCCGACGGATGCTTGATGCATCCTGCCCCAAATACAGTGTTTCTAGCTAACCTCTCCACCTTAATGCTCTCAGCTACCCCCAAAATAACTCATTTTATCTTTTTCTTTTCCCCCCACAACTCTCCATTTCTGGGGTGCGTCCTGAGCCTGGAAGGAAGGCCGCCATCCTCACCTGCGCCTGGTAACCTAAGGAAGGTCTGAGGGTGGGGATGGGAGCGCTCGATCTTTTAAAGTTCTTAGAGAAAGAAAGAATTCTGGTGATCTGAGAAGTTTACACAAGACGGAACAGGCAAAAAATACTCACTTGAAGCAGTGAAGTCTTGTAGAAAGAGCCATGTGTTCTGTTTTAAAATGTCATTTCTATTCTGTGTTTGAGAAATGGGGGCAGAACAGGAATCAGGCAGATGGTGAAGTGTAGATTGCCATGACACTGTAAAGAAGTTTTAGTGTTACATGATTAAAGACATTCTGAATGCAGTTTTTTTATCTCCGCTTGTGCCATTCATAATTATTCCCGTTCCATTAAACGATTTCTCCTCTACCCAGCCAGCCCCTTCCTCAAACCGCCACCCGGAAGTGCCAGCCGGCCTCCTGCCAACGCAGAGACGGCGCCGGAGAGCTCGCGTTGGGGGTGAGTTGGGAGGAGCTGCAGTGGGCTCATTGCTCGAAGGCCGGCGCTTGGCAGGTCGTTCAGCTTTCCTGCAGCGGTGTCCTGAAGAGCAGGAATCCGCAGGGGGTGGGATAGCCCAGCTCAGCCAGACCTCCTCGTGCGGGAGCCGGGAGAACTCGGCCATCCTTTGCGGCCGTTTTGGAAGTGGTGGTGGATGTAGGAAGCCTTAGGTGGGCGCGTTGGTGGTGGCGTGGACCAGGGAGCCGGGCACGAGCGAGAAGTGGGCTGTGCCCCTCCTTTTCATCTCTGTGTGCAAACAGGGAGCTCGGCGGGTTGGAAGAGCTCGGCTCCGCCGCTCGGAGGTAGACATGCCAGTCTCCCTCCCAGCAGCGCCGCTCCGAGGGAGCGCTGCTGGGAACAGCCCATGGGTGCGCACGGGAGGGCAGCTGTCCGAGCGACGGGTAGGAGAGCAGCTGGGATGAAAGCGGGGACACCTGAAGGCCTTTAGTAGGATTGGTACCTCAGCTGGTGTGGAACTTTCCCACGGGGGGGGGAAAAAGAAGAGGATGTGCAGGCTGAAGCCATCCTCAGCCACCCACCCGTTCTGTTGGCACCGCCCCGTTCCACACTCGGAGCCTTGCACACATGGATTCCTCCTCCGTTCCTCTGGGCTGCCTGCCACCTCTTTTGTTTGCTCCGGAGTTGCTCCTGCCTCTTCTCTAGCTGCACTCATTATGGAGCTTTCAGGTGGAAAATAGTTGGATCTCTCGCTGCCTCCCTAATGCTTTGCTGTTGATGACTTTCATCGTACTTAGCTGTGGAGCGACATGGAAGCGGCGTGCAAAAACGCCCGTTTTCCTTGGCAGTTGGATTTGCCAGAGCCGCGAGCGGTTGGAGCGAGACGTAGGTGTCCTTCCCTGGTCGATCAGGGACCTCTCTGTAGCGTCACAACAGCCTGGCCTGTGTTTCTGAGCGATGTTTTTGCCTAACTGCAGTCAAAATGCCTGATTTAGACAGAAATTCGTAGTGGGATTGGGTAGCCAGCCGTGTTGGTCTCGGGGGGCGGCAGGTGGGACCAGGAGGGGGTGACGGTGGTTACGTTGGACCAGGCAAGGCCGGGAGGAGACGTAATTCCGTAAAAGCAGGCGTGAGCCCCCCCTGCTTTCCTCCTGTTCCCAGAAGAGCAGGAATAGGGCACTTGGCAGCCCACCCAAGTCT